AAAACTTTGGCTGGAAACAATTTATTGTTTAAAGTTATACGTATCAAATTATTTAAAAAGCAATTTGAAAACAAAATTAGAAATAAGAATTTTTTATAGTATACAGAAAGTTCATTAAAATACCTATTGAAAAATTACTTATTAAATATTTAAATAATAGAAATGATAGACAGTATTTGAAATATAATTGGTTATATTTTAAAACTTTCTCTATCTTTGGTTTTATCTAGTTTTATTCTTATAATATGTAAATTAAAAATATATTTTTATATAAGAAAACTGAAAATCAAAAGCTGGGGGGAAAAGAGTATTAAAATTTAATTTTAATTATGAAACAATTATAAATAAAAATATTATAAAAAATTCATAGTTAGAACTATTAAAATTTTATCAAGGTTGAATTGAAATTTTAAATATAAAATTATTATATATGAAGAGAAGAAATAATTAATATGAAACTCAAAAGAACAGGAAAATATATTAGATCTCTACGAATTAATAAATCGATAGGGGAAAGAAGCTTGAAATTGGGATGGTGTTATTCGCTTAAATATTACCTTATCCTACGTTATCATCTTTGGTATGTTAGCATATTCAGAAATATTTTTACATTTTTTTTTGCTTCCTGACAAGCTTAATTTACTTATTTTTTTTCCGTTTTTTTTTTTTTGGAATATTAAAGTGAGATTATAATAATAATTATTTATATGTTTATTAAAAAAAATTTTTAATTGTATAATGAGGTGTGAATTTATTGAAATCTATATATATATATATGAATTGTATGAAAAATTGTGTTAGACCCTGAATCCAAAAAAATATATTAAAATATTTTATTTTAATTCTTAATATAAATAAAAAAAATATTTGGTGCACTAAAAAACATAAAATTATTTTTAAATAAAAAACCGTGAGTGAAGTGAAAACATTTTTAAAAATTTCGTAAGAAACGAAAATATTAAATATTATAAAAAATATTATTAATCATAAAATAAGTAAGAGTAATGTTGAAGAATTTGAATTGAAAAAGAAAATATTGTGATTATTTTCCTATATCAATTCCAAATAATAAATTCAAATAAATTTTTTTAAGAATTATATTACACAAATATTTAAGATTAATATAAATTTTTAAAGAAAAAAAAAGGTTTTTTTGTGTAATATTTGAATTAAGTATATAAATGTAAAACTATAATTTTCACATGAATTTTGTAAAATTTGATTGATTAGGTAAAGATCTGCTTAAATAATACGGAAATATAGATTTACGAATAATATTATTATATTTTATGTAGAACCTATTTTTATTTTAGTATTTTTCATCTTTTAAATAATCTTAAAAAAATTAAAATAAATCACAAATTCGTTTATATAGAAATTAAAATAAATATGTTTTGCAAATTGAACAGATTGAAATTTTTTAAATATTTATTTTTCAAACTTATTTAAATTTAAAGAGAGTGCAAAAAATATAAAAAGAGAAAATAATATTTTATGAAAACAAGTTAATTAAAAATTATACAATTTTATAATAAAATATTTTTTAAAGAAAAATTTCTAATTTCTAATAGTTTCTCATATTTTTTGCTTTGCTTTTTGCAATATTTTAAAACCTTAAACAATATAATTAATTTCCAGACATTTAATGTATTTAAATATTCATTAATATTAAAAACAATTTTGTTTTAAAATCAATATATAATTAAGTTAATTTTGCCTTTCGCCAAAGTAAATA